CAAAATTCATCCAATAATAATTGATTCTACAACAATTTCTTCGATAATAATCAACAAAAATTCGAAAACATGCTTTTCTCTCTCTCAACTCTCTTCACAGTGTAAAAATGGAAAAATGCTGGACTTTTAAATTTTTTTTAGTTTTTCCTTTTTTTTTTCTTTTTTACTTGGTCAACGACTACTGTGGAAAAGTGACCGGATCAACCGGGTATTTTCCACCATTTCCTCAACGTCCTAGTCTGCTGACCCGATGTCTTCTTCTTCCTCCCGTGTGAGCCGTGCTGTGACTGTGAATCTGTTCTCCAGCTAGGTGGGCCTTTTTTAGTTTTGGCCCATTTGTGTTGGGATGGGAGAGATGGGCCTTATTTAAAAAATGAGGCCCAATAAAAGGAAATCTTATTCATTACACTATCAGTCTATCACAGTCACGGACTCGCAGAGATACAAAATCACAGGTTAATTAACCCGGTTGCGGCGGCTGCTCCGAAGTCCAAAGACTCCAAACCCTTCGGCCTTCAATCACAGCTTCACTCCTTCGCTGTCGACGTCGCAGACTCGCAGGCAGCTTTCAATTTCGGATCTTCACTTGAATCACTTCTCCTTCTCTGCCTGCCGGTAATTATTATGTTTTACATAATCGTGTTTGTTGTTTATATGCATTGAACTATTGATTTCTGATTATCAATTTATCAGTATGGAAAGCTCTTCACTTCTCCTTCTCTGCTTGCCGATAATTATTTGTTTATATCATTATATGTATTATTGATTTCTGAATTCTGATTATCAGTATTGAGAATGATGGGGACACGGTCACAAGGGTTGCAAACTTGCACTGTTGCACATCGAAAATCTTCACTCAATAGATTTTCTTCACCAAATCATTGCTAGCCATAAACCTTTATCATAGCAATCAAACATGAATGTTTACCAACAATAATACCTTCATAGCAAGTTGATCTTCGACAGAATCAATGCTCAATAACTTGAATGGTCTAAATCTTTGTTAAATCGTTACGTAGCCTTTGGATGTTAAACGTTATGAAGCTCAGACTTTTTTTTCAATACAGAATGGTTATCTAAAATTTTAAATAGGATGCCTTATAGTTTAAAAAGATTTAAATGGTTAATGTTATTATAAATGTGATTGAGTAGCTAATGATGAAATGTTTCGGTCCAACTCTTCTGTCAAAATTTGGTAAATTTTTGCACCGAGAAATAAGATTTCTAACTTAGTTATTGTTTTGCATTTTACACTAGATTAATAGGATGCTTAAGACGTAGTAAACGTGAAGATGTAGAATAAAATTGATGTGTATCTTTACAATGTTGATTCCTTAAGTTAAATGTTTGCCTTTCAGTTGTACATTTTTCATTTGTCTCAAGATAACATCATAAGTGCCATTCCTAGACTTATAAACATCTATGAGAACAACACGTGCCATTGCTGACAAATGGTTTAAAAATGCGGTAGTGAGGCCCACCTTGAGGCCCGCCTCACTGTGAGGCTCATGTAGTATGCCTCGATGCGGTATTTTTGAGGCTAAAAATATGAGGCGCATGCCTCTAAATCTGAGACGCACGCCTCATTTAAAATTAGAAATTTCAATTGTATAAAAAAAATTAGAAAGGGTCCTTCTTAAAAAAGAAAATGGCCCATTTAAAAAGGTATTTTGGGCCCAAACAAAACAATAAAATACCTAAAAAACTAAACGGCAGCCAGAAATTAGAGGACTAAAAAGGGAACAGATTCACAGAAATTCAAAAGTCAGAATTCAAGAAGAGCATCGTTTTCTTCATCAGTTCATCATGTATGTTTTTCCTTTTTTTCTTTTTCTTCTTCTTAAGATTCAGTAAATCTTGCATGCAATTAGTTACTTCATATACACATCTGAAAATTATAAATTTTATAAATATTTTTATTTATATAATTAACACACACGATTTCATCCAATCACTTTTACAAACTCTAAAACTCATGTATCTATACTTCTTAATCTGCAACATCTCTTCAATATCCCCACATTATTGTCAAATCTTCATGCAAGAGTACACTATACCCAAATTTATGCTGTTCCACCATAGCCAGCTTTCTTCCAATTTTTTTTTGTATTATTTTATAATTCTTTTACTTGGATTTTTTGTTTTTTGTGATGCTTACGTCTCAATCTGCCTCGAGGCGCTCATAAAGAAAAACCGCCTCAGTACTTAGTTTCGCCTTTTTATATGTTAGGCTGACATATAAGCGTGCATTTTCAAGTGTAGCAATGACAAAAGAAAGAGAGGTTGATTGTTAGATGTTTTCAAACGTTGCAAGCATAAGAGTAATAAATACAAGTTGGTCCTCGTTATATTGGTGTATGTACTTTTGGCAATAGAGGAGAATACATATATTAACTTGTGTTGGTTTTATTTGGTGGATGATCTTGATAGATTTAACTATTCATAGGGGAGAGAGTTGTATGAGTACACTATTAGGGTAGTTACAGTTTTGATGCCCTTAATTTAAATGTATTCATTTCTATTACTTTTGTTTTTCATCACATGAGAACGACATTGTTACTGTTATGTTCATAAATATAATTGTTCATAAGAACGACACGGGTGATGTTATGTTTGTAAATATGTGTTCATGAGAACGACAATTGTGCCGTTACTTAGATGAGAACGTCCATTAAAACGGTATAATTGTCTTTATGTTTGTAAATATGTGTTCATGAGAACGATATTTGTGCTGTTACTAAGATGAAAACATCTATTATAATGGTATAACTGTCATTATGATTGTAAATATATTTGTGCATTAGAACGGCACTTGTGCCGTTATAGAAAAGAAAAATTCTAAGAGAGCGACTGGTGTGGTTACGGAGATGAAAAGTTCTATGAGAACGGCACAAGTTTTGTTTAGAGGATGAAAGGTCCTTGAGAATGACACTTTTGCTGTTACTGAGATGAAAAGTTCAAAGAGAATAGCACAAGTCCTGTTACCGAAATATAAACGTGTTCATCAGAACGGCACATAAAAAAACGACACTCGCGTTGTTCTGTCTATAAGTACGAATACAAGCCGCCACAACCCATCCATGCTTCCCGAGAACAAAGTGGACATGTCGTTCTCTCTATAAACAAAAGTATAAGCATCCGTTGCAAGATGAACATGCCGTTTACAAAAGTTGAGAGATGTGCTCTTTAATTATATTTTCTAATGAATTAATACATTTACTTCTTTGTCAATTTAATCGTTCTTTGTCACGTGATCAACCTTTATGACTTTTTTAAATTAGAGGATCCAATATTTGATGTCGTTGAGTTGGAAAAGAAGCAAAATGTTGGAGAAATCAACAAAATGATACACGGGCTGTTAAACGACATTTGTGTCGTTTTGTCTATAAACATGAGTATAAATAGCCAGATCCATCCATGCCCCAATAACCAATAAGTTGAACTCATTTCAATTGCAAGATGGACATGTCGTTTACAAAAGTTGAGAGATGTGCTCATTAATTATATTTTCAAACGAATCAATACAATTACTTGTGATTTCATCAACTCGATATCATATAATCTATGTCATTCAACCGTTCTTTGTCATGTGATCAACCTTTGTGACTTTCTTAAGTTAGGGGATCCAATTTTTGAAGTCGTTGCATTGGAAAAAGTAAAATGTTGGAGAAATCAACAGAATGACACAAGGACCGTTAAACGACACGTGTTGTGCTGTCTATAAACACGGCCATAAGCAGCCCCGACCCATCCATGCCCCCGAGAACCATTAAGTTGAACTCATTTCAGTTGCAAGATTACATGATATGAATAAATGATACCATGTAGATTTTGAAATAAAAAAGTTAAATAGTTTACTCAAGTATATATCAAAATAATATGAAAATAATTGTCATATTTAAATTATCAAAGTAACCATATTGTACTATCAATAACGGATAGAACATAAAAAATAATGGCCGTGTTGTTATTTTACACCTACAGCTGAAACACTACAGATAATGGTTAGAGTGCTGTTATCATTCTATAGTTGCCAAGAGCACAAAATACACCAAATACGAAAATAAAACCAATTAAAATATCATTTCATAGTGTATTCAACAATAAAAATACCAATGTACATGAGATTTCTAAAAGTAGCTTTCTTTTTCCTCACATATAGTAGAAATTTCAATGTAAATAATAGAGAAATCAAATTCTTGTTCAAATGCTCGAAAGATACCCAAAATAGGTGAGCAATATAATAAATAACAAGATTTTAGTGTAGCAAGCACATTAATGAAAGAACAAGGTGATGCGATTTTGGAGATAAATTGAGGAATTTAATTGGATTGATAGGGGTGTTAAGAGTTTTTTCCAATGGTGAGGGTGTGGTCGCGTGAAACCGGCAAGCGTACTGGATCGTTGTACAAGTAACAAGATTTGTGAGTTAAGAGTATCGTTCCCACGAGGAATCAGGTCTAATTTGTAATTCAATAGCTACTATTAAATTCGATGTGTGGTAATATCAAAAAGAGATGATTTATATGTAATCTATATTAATCCTAAACTAACAAAACAAAACAAATGAAATATTTATTATTATGTAAATGTTTGTATTTGAATCGTGAATCCCCCTATTGCCATTTAATCAATTCTTAATTCGTAATCTATTAAATTCAGGAATTCAAGACAATCGATAATCCACTGTTATTCAATATTCTTTTCCAAGATATATTAAACATATGTTTAACACGACCCGATCCTATTCCTAGTCCGAATTCATATGAAAAATATGCATTGATTCATAGGATTTATCACACATGATTGCACATGCCATAGATATTATTCCTAATACCTATTGTATATGTGTTGATTTTGCCGCGTTCTAGACTTATTGTGAGTATTCCTACA